GTTTAAAGGGAGAATGGCTCCAAATATCCACACATAACTATTAACTGTGTAAGACCTATCATCAAGGAGACTGATTGACTCTCAAGATGGTGTTGGGAGCTAGGGTTGTGGTTCGGTGGTACAGCGATTGCCTACCATGTGAGGCACTGGATTTGATCCTCAGCACCACATAAAAATAAACAGATAAAATAATTTGTGTCCATCTACAACTAAAAAATGTATATTAAAAAAGAAAAAAAGATGGTGTTGGAAAGGGGAAGAAAGCTGATAGACAGACCTTGTTGAGAGAGAGTAGCTCAGGCAGGAAGAGAGAGAGGGACAGAATACAGAACAACCAACTAATTCAATGTTGGTGGTCTCCCACATAGAAAGGAGAGGAGCTGAGAGTGTTAATGGAGTTAGTGGAGAATTACACACCACAATGCATAATGAGCCAAATAGGGAGGGGAAAAGATCCTTTAATGAGCAAGCCAAGCAAGTGACTGGGAGTGGGCTAGCGCCTCAAAGAACTCTCAGCACCTGAATTTTGGAAATACAGAGTTTATAAAAGCAAAAACCACAAGAGTATAGGTCAGAAAAGACCTTGTTGAGATTATACATTTTGATTACATGAGAGAATTTTGAGTATACATTTTACAGTCATTTTTGTTATACATCAGGGCTACAGTCAGGGACTCAGGAAGGACCTACTTACTGTCAACATAGATATAGCTGACAGGAGGCTGTAAAGAAAACCTTTAAAGCAAGCATAAAATGGAGTCAGATCAGAACAAAATGGCGTTACTCTGGTTCTTTTACATTTCAAGAGGAAAATGCGTGAGGCTGAATATTCAATGGCAACAAACAGATGAATTTTTGGTATGAGAAGCCAATTCATATTTGGATCTCATGATGTACAATTCCATGTGTAGTAATACCCCATTTAGTTTTCCTTTTATTTCTGTTTTTAATGGATTGTTATGACCACGGGGTGAAGTGTCAGAGCAGGATCTATTTTATGGAATGAAAAATTCAGGAGAGGTCACAGAAGTTGCTGAGATAGGAAAGGCACTTTCAGATCCCCTGGTCTATTAGTTCTTGTGACCTGCACTGAGGATACTATACTCACCCTGATTTCTACCTGTCTCTTGGATTTCAGCAGTGAACACCTTTTGGCCAATAGAAAAAAAAATGGGATTTCAGGAGTGAACACCTTTTGGCCAATAGAAAAAAAATGGAATGGCTTTAAGTAAAGAATGTCAGTGAAAATTATTAGGATTCATAAACCAGCAGCAACACCCTATTCACGGTGCATGGGTGAGGCCTACCACGTATTCTTGCTTTTCACAGGTTCCACAGTGTTCCTTCATGGGGAATAGAGGGGGAAGAAGAAGAAGAGATATTCATGAGTTAATCAATATTCCTTCTCATGAATGACTTCAGAGAAGCGTGTATGTTGTCAAACTCCATTGCCTACAGGAAGAGCATGACATAGTGGAGGCCTGGTGCTCAGGCTATTTTTTGCTCCTTCCCAGCAAAGAAGCTCTACCTAAGTGGTCAGAAGAGTCTTAGCACTTATCCACTTATCCTCCATCCTTCCTGTGTTGAAATCAGTCCATCAGATCAGAAAGTCATTAGAAGGAGACAGAGAAAGAAAAAAAGAGACACAGTGAGAAAGGTAGAAAACACAAAGAGAAGGAGAAGAACCCCCTTGGGAAGAAAGGAGGATACAAAGTGTCCCCCAGCTGTCTCAGGTGGGACCTTTTCACCCATTTCATGCTGGAAAAAGTTACTTTTAAAACCAAGTGATAAAAGCCAGGCATGGTGGCACCCACCTGGAATCCCAGCTGCTTGGCTAAAGATGGAAAGATTAAGCCAGTGAGGCCCTGTCTCAAAATAAAAATACTGTGTGGCCCTTTGGTTAAGGTAAGAGGTGTTAGAAAATATAGAAAGGCTGGTAATTGGAGTATGGCTTCCTCTCCAGCTACCTCCTGACTTCATTGCAGTGAGGGACTGTGGGCATGGCATGCAAGTAAAGACCAGCAATGACAATGGACCCAGGTCTTCACCAATCCACTGATCAATTACAGAAAGACAAACAACTACAACAAATTCAGAACCTCTAACCATCTATAAAGCTAATGTGGGTCAATCTGAAATCAGAGTCTGCATTATACCTTAATGCATACCAACAGGATATTGTGAGCAGTTAGTCTGCTTGTGGGACAAACGATGGCCCAAGGAGAGACCTGTAGATAGACCAAGAAGTGGAGGTTGCAGGTTGAGCTACTGCTCCTTTAGAAGTTGTATGTCAGGAAGAAAAATGAGTTAAGAGCAGTAGCTCAACTTCTGACCTATGAGAAGTGTGCCAACCACACATGGCATTGCAATCTATTTAATACAACAAACCTAATCCACTGTCAAAGAAGAGGGCATTGGTCCACTATTCCAAGTGTCTGTACCTGTATAACAAAGTACCCCCAAAACTTAGCAGTTTAAAACAATAACCATTTTTATTTTATTTCACAATTGTTTGGGTCAGCAATTTGGAAAGGGTTCCGCTGGACGATTCTTCTACTCCATGTAGCATCAACTAGAATCATCTGGTGTCATTTGGTTGGTGGCTGGGTGGTACTGGAGGGTTGAGATGGTTTCACTGACATGAGGCTCCTTGGCGGGGACAGCTAGAAAGCTTCACTCAGCTGGGTCTGTCTCCTGCTCCACAGAGCACCAGGGCCTCCCCATGTGGTCACTCCAGAAGGGCAATCAGGTATCACAATACTCAAAAGATGGTCCACATCACTAAACATCAGAGAAATGCAAGTCAAGACCATTATGAGATATCACTTTATACCCTCACAGATACAATGGTACTATTTCTTAAAACACATAAAATGACAAGTATTAGTGAAACTAGAAGACACCAAGAACCACTGTACACGGTTGGTGGGATTGTAAAATTATGCACCCACCATAGGAAATGGTGTGGAGATTCCTCAAAAAAAAAAAAAAACTACCACTTTTGAGTACATATCTCAAAGAACTGAAAACAGGGTCTATTTTATTTGCAAACCTATGTTCAGGGCAGCAGCACCATCCACAATAGCCAAGGGATAGAAGCCACCCAAAGCTCCATCAACAGACGAATGAATAAACAAAATACATTATAGACATACAATGGAATATTAAAAATAAGGAAATTCTATAATCTACTACAACATGAATAAGCCTTGAGGACATTAGGCTGCATGAATAAACCAATCAGAAAAACATAAATACTATGTTATTGCAGTAATACGAGGTACCTAAAATGATTAAATTCATAAGGATTTGGAAGGTAAAATAGTGGCCATGAGGGGCTAGAAGAAAGGGGAATGCAGAGTTGTTCAATGGGCAAAATTTTCAGTTTTGTAAGGAAATCCATTGCATAGTGAATATACTGAATTGCATTGAATAGTAGTACTACACTTAAAAATGGACAAGATGGGGGCTGGGGTTGTGGCTCCGTGGTGGAGCACTTGCCCAGCATGTGTGAGGCACTGGGTTCTATTCTCAGCACCATATATAAGCAATTAAATAAATAGAGGTCTGTCAATAACTAATAAAAATTTAAAAAAGAAAAAAATGGGTAAGATGATAAGCTTTATGTTTTGAGGTTTTTAACCACACACACACACACACACACACACACACACACTCTCACACACACACACACACACACACAACTGCTGGGACTTTTAAAGCCCAGATTCAAGGGGAAGGGAACATAAATTTTATCTGTCAATAAGAACGACAAAGAGCCCATTCATGCTGCTTGCAGTAATGCCTGCCTGTAATCCCAGCAACTTGGAAGGCTGAGGCAGGAGGAATGCAAGTTTGAGGCCAGCCTCAGCAACTTAGACCCTGTCTCAAAATTTAAAAAAATATTTTAAAGGGAATCTGGGGATATATAGCTCAGGGGTTAAGCACCCCTGCGTTCAATCCCCAGTACAAAAAAAAATAGTAATAACAACAATAATAATAATAAGTAAACAAAAACGAATGACAAAGAATCTTCAGCCATCTTTAATCTGTTGCATCATGGTGGGGTACATCATGTCTACAGCACCTGAGGACCTAGACAGCAAGATTCTTTCCAGGGGACTATGTTCCACCTCCCAGAAATGAAGGATATCAAGAACCCCTGTTGTAGGTGGGTGCTGGAGACAGTGGAGCAAGGAAAATGGAGAAGCTAGTGTAGCCAATGAGGAACAAATGGCCCGGAACTCCTCCCCTACTTATTTTCACAACAAAGATTCCCTGGCCATTCTACCAAAAGCCTGACCGCTCCTATCAAGCCATTTTCCTCATTCAATAGTGCCTGGTCCCTCAGCTATCCTCTCCGTGGGGGCTCCAGACCCTAATTGGATAGGTCAGATAGGAATATTCAGCAGAAACCAACCACAGGAGACCTTTCAACATCAGTAAACACATAGAAAATTCAACAAAGTAGCACTTAGATAGTCTGCACAATGCGGCCATTATAAATGCTGCTTTCAGGAGCAGTGATTCAAATGACAGCTCCGAAAAGGATTTGCAGAGAGCCCCTTGGAAATGGAACATGGGCAACCGAGAGCCCATGACATGTTACAAGGTCAAACTCGACTGAACAAAGATCCAAAGCAGCACTGAATGACTTATTTATTCAGCCCTGCTCTGTACGAACTTGAGAGAATGTGACATCTTTTAAATTGCCTCCCCTGATAAGCAATGTCCGTGGTGCATGGAAAATGTTAGCACAAGTTCTGAAAGGAGCAGACTACTTTACAAGGCAGTGGTTACAGGGCAGCCACCCTGAGACTTCCACCCAGTTCTGCAAACTGCCCTGATGTCTCACGGCCTTAAGACGAAAGGAGGGAGGGCCACATCTGGAGGGGAAAATCCTGCCTTTTGTTTCCTTCCACCCATTCCACAAATCTGTTGGAAGAGCTAGCCCTTGCCAAGCCTTCCGATGGAAAACTTTCTACTGCGCATGCCATCCATAATGGTAATGGCATTCTAATTTTGCTCTCCCAGTAAAGTATCTTCCTGATATTATATGGGGAGTGTTTGTGTTCTGAGCACCACTGGAACTAATATCCTGATTATTTTTAGCCTAGCAGTCTGCAGAACTCTCACATGCCCTGGGGTTCTTGTTGCATGGTGGTGTCGTGCACTAGGAAGAAAAAAATACCCAGTGGTAGCAGTATCTAAGTAACTCAATTCAAGCAAACATTCCCAGCACACCTCGCAATGAGCAGCCTGTTCTCAGGGGCAGGGCCAGGGTCAGTGCCAGGCTGAGGTAAGCCAGGTGCCTATTCTGCAAGATGTAAGGAAGCACTCAACCTGTACCTGCATGACCCTATGAGTAACCCTCCTTGAACTTTAAGCCCTTGGCACCTCCCCTGCTTCCCCCTAGTCGAGTCCCTGCTCTCTGGCTTCATGCTCTCAAAAATATTTGCTCCTCAGCTCCCTGTCCACCACTGATATAGGGGAGTATAGTCCCAGGCTCAGGATCTTTCTAAGGAGGCAGCTACTCGTCAGGAAAATCCCTTTTCCTCCCAGGTATGGACATCACTGCTCCTGGGGCAGTGAAGGCCTTCCAACATCTGCTGCTCCCACTCCAGCCCACTGAGACTGGTCTCATCCTATCTGGGGTGCAGCATTAGACACAAATATTTTTTTTTTTCTGGCAGCCTCGTACTTTCCCTGTGTGATGTCATAAAGCAAACCCAGACAGCTGAGAGCTGAGGAAAGAGAAACAGGAGTCTCTGTTTCATGGTTGCCAACCAATTATTCACATCAAAGCAGGGTTTTCTATCATGAAATCTGGAGTGTGTGAACCTCAGGAAAATGGAGACTACCCTCTTAGCGGCTTCTCCCCTTCATCACACACATACATAGCCCTGAGCACTTCCATAAGCACCATCTCCTAGCAACGTTCAATATCCATTTCATATTCTCGTTCATGTGTTTATGACCCCCTCCTATTCTTCCCTCTTCTCCATCCTTAGCTAGCACTTTCAATAGCTTATTGGAAAATCCAGACATTCAGCTGTATAGGTTTTCAGTGGAAAAATACTCAGAGTGGAGGAGTCATGGAGCCACACATCTGACTTTGGATTCCATCTGGCAGGAGCATCTCCATGAGAGCAGAACAGACCACTCAAGGTTGAGAACTGTCCATAGCACTGTGTAAAATCCATGAATTGCTTATGTTGCTTTTAATATTGTCTAAAGGAAGCATTCCCATCCACAGGGCCTCTGCCAGCATGACTCAATTTCAGAGAATCATTATAGACCAATCATCATTATGACATGATCATATCTCAATTATCCCCTGTGTAGTCAGGGTACATTAAAGTGACTGTGAGTCCTCCTGCTGAGACAAATTCATTAAGATCATAATGTGTATAAGATATTTTAAAGTGTGATGGAAAACGGGGGTTGGGGGGAATATTGAAAACAACACAATCTTTCAGAGGTTTCTCTAGCACACATTCAGAAAACATAATTTTATCTTGTATTTCAAAGTGCTATATGATACAAACCAGACAGCCTATTTCTTGTCAGCCCAAATCTGCCACACCATGGCCAGCTAGATGCATTTACCCATCCTCAAAATATATAAGATAGCCATAAGCCCAGATCAGTACCGCCGAAGTCTACAAAAATCATCCAAGATACTATGTATACAACCAGAGATAGGAAAAAATTGTGCTTTATATATGTAATAAGAATTGTAATGCATTCTGCTGTCACATATAAATAAAATTTTTTAAAAATCATCCAGGAATAGGTATGATCTAGATATGTGGACCCAGACATAGTCCCTAATCTGTTGAGGGAAAAAAAAAGAAAAGCAACCATCCCCTGAGAATTTGTTCTAAAGAAAAAAATTAAAAGAATAGATTAGTGTATTTGTCAAGATCATTGTACTGTCATGTGTAGCTAATTAAAACTAACTTAAAAATTCTAAAACAAAAAAATAAAGATATTAAAAGAAAAAAAAGAAAAAGAATAGATTAGGCTGGGGTTGTTGCTCAGAGGTAGAGTGCTCACCTAGCATGCATGAGGCACTGGGTTCAATCCTCAGCACCACATAAAGTAAAAGACATTGTGTCCACCTATAAACTAAAAACTTTTTAAAAGAAAGAATAAAGATATTCATTATTTATAATAATGAAGCAATCAAAACCTACAACTATCTGACAAGGGTGAAAGAGTTGAGAACGGAATATTGAGTATGGAATGGAAAGAAATGATAATAGGATGGATTATTATACAGCCATTAGAAATTGAGGCTGATGATATAGACAGTGGAAGTATATAAAATTATTTTAAATATAATATTAAAATGTTTAAAGTGTAATCTATAGGAATTGGGGTGTAGCTCAGTTGTAGAGTGCTTCCCTAGTATGTGTGAGGCCCTAGATTCAATCCCTAGCACCACACACATAAGAAATGTCATCTGTACTAAGATTCCAACTAGATAAAATAGGTTTGCATTTACATATGGAATAGAAACAAACATGGGAAGAAAACAGTTGATATGTTTAGGTGATTGGACTTGTGGGTGATTTTCTTTTTCTTTTCTTCTTTCTCTTTTTCTTTTGGTGCTAAGAATTGAACCCAGCGGTACTTTACCACTGAGCCACCTTCCCAGTCCCTTTTTTAAATTTTTGGACAAGATCTCACTAAGCTGCTAATGCTGGTCTGGAACTTGTGATACTCCTGCCTCAGTTCTCTAAGATTCTGGGATTACAGGATTGCACCACTGTGCCCAGGTCATGATTACTGTGATCTCCCGATAATCATTTCTTTTGTAGCTATTATAAATGTTGAGTATAAAATAAAATTTGGGCTGGACACGGTGACACACACCTGTAATTCCAGTGATTTGGGAGGTTCAAAAGTCCAAGGCCAGGGACTGGGGTTGTAGCTCAGTGGTAGAGTGCTCACCTAGCACATGTAGGGCACTGGGTTAAATCCTCAGCATCACATAAAAATAAATAAATAAATAGAGGTTGAAAAAAGAAAAACAAAGTTCGAGGCCAACCTCAGAAGGCAATTTGGTCTCAAAATACAATAAAAAGAACTGGGGCTGTAGCTCAGTGGTAAAATCCCCTTGGGTTCAGTCCCAGATACCAAAAATAAACACACACATACATAACTTGGACATAAAGTTATGTATGAGACACCTTCCATATTAGGAGGATCTTGATGCTTCAGATCATTCTACATTCTTTGCTCATTCAAAGCAGCCAGACTTTTGACCCAATACAGGTAATATGTGGGTTTTAGGGAAGATTCCTTGTTGGAAAGACTGTGCA